TAAAAAGGAACTGCTAGTATCATGTACGGAGATGATATATATATATATATATATATATATATATATATATATATATATATATATATATATATATATATATATATATATATATACTCGTTTGAACAAACCTTAGGTATTTTGGCTTGTAACTGAACAAACCAATGCCCAAGTGAAAATAAGGGATAAAAAAGAAAGAACTAAGAACAAGAAATTGTGGCGAAAACAATCGTCCAGAATTCAAGCTCAGAGTCCAAAGAAAACAAAATCCTCCAAAACGAGTACAGCAAAAGTAACTACAGTGCTCAATACGCTAAGTACACCAAACCTATATATATTCATATTTATGAGCCTAAAGAGCCAGGTAAACCGACCTAGGTTTCACCTATACTTATCGTCAGGGTCAATATATATATATATATATATATATGTATGTATGTATGTATGTATAGGTAGACAGACAGATTTTGAACACACTGAGATATATAGATAATGAAGAGACTGAGACAGATATATGCTGTGGGAGAAATGTTTTTCCAATCACGGAAGACATTTAATTTTAGGACATGACCTATGGTACGCCTCGACAATGTGGAATTACATTTGCAGTATGTTAATTCTGATCTGCTCCGGTTGCCTGATAACGAGTCGACAGAAAGACAACTGCATGGAGCCAATTATTAAGCAAATAACTGACACAATAAACAAAAGAATTCCTCACGCAGACCCCAATGTAGGACATCAAAGGCTAGAGGAAAATTACACTCAGCGGAATTGTGTAACAATAAGAATTTCGTGAATAGATGATGATTTCAACAGAGAATACGTTAAAGGTAGTTTGTCAAAACAACTAGAAAATGAATTCATCCCAAGAGTATGAATAGACAGGGAGGAGAATGTCCTCAATAGGCGCCCGTTCCCTTCTATATGATATATGTATAAGAACACACACGCAAGTACGCATACACACACACAAAAACATTTTAAAACACATGCTATTAGCTGGATGGAAAAGGTACTAATATTTTTTGAAAATATCTAAATTAATTCCATCATATGAGAAAATCTATTCTCCCCTTTGTAACATTTCACAAACTTTCGACAAAATTGCGTTTTCCATTATACAAGATGGATTCTGTCTTTACTTCGATTAATTCTTCAATAAATTTTGAGTGTATCGAATGATATTGTAACTACTAACCGGGCAAGAAATATTGTCTTGCTTGAAACAAGTGATGGTATGAAAGTGACGACTTTATATATATATATATATATATATATATATATATATATATATATATATATATATATATTTTGCTCTACTTAGTGTATTGAGCAGTTTACGTAGTTACTTTTTGCTTTACTCGTTTTAGAGTTTTTTTCTTCTTTGGACTCTGAGCTTGAATTCTGGATGATTGTTTTCGCTATAATTTCATGTTCTTAGTTCTTTCTTTTTTATCCCTTATTTTCCCTTGGGCATTGGTTTGTTCAATTACAAGCCAAAATACCTAAGGTTTCTCCAAACGAGTATAACTATTTACATATATATATATATATATATATATATATATATATATATATATATGTATGTATGTATCAACAAGAAAAACAGTATTCCAGCACCACCAAGTGAAGGCTTGAGAACAAGTGAGAGAATTCAGTGAAACCTCCAGAACAACTTTTTTACGCATTGTCATTGAAACGTTCCAATTACTCTTTTTGATGTTGGGTATGTCTCAGAAAGTTCCGTAATACTATTAAGTGACAAGCAACTGGAAAATGAGGAAAAGTTCGGTTAAATGTGGGAAGCAGGGAAATTAGGATGCGGCAAAGATATAAAAACGAAAAGAAAACAGCGTGAAAAAAAAAAATATATATACACACAAGTTGAACTTATGAAAATTCTACGGATGAAGTTAATCATTATTGTTAAATATACGCCACTGAGTGGTCACACTTGTTGGGCTTTATTTCTACAAAGCAAAACCTTAATAAATATCCATAAAGACGAGAGAAGTACGTCAATTGTGGTTAAAATAATTACGTATTGCCCAGTGATATTTGATCACAAATGAGTAAGGATTTTGAATGATGCTTTTCAAAGCATACCAAAATTTATCTTTGCAAATAATTTTCGACTTCCATTTATTCGCTTCTGATACTCTACCGTATTAATGTAACGTTGATTAAATATAGATACCTCCAGGAATTCGCTAGAAAAGAGCATACCATGATGAAACATTCCCAAAACTTGATGAAAAAAACAAGGTTTTATCGTCAAAATATTTGTTATTATTAAAAGTAATCACCAAATTTGCTTATTTTATTACAATTTTAATCCTTTCTAATACGTTCGAAAATTTCGTTAAAATCTTGTTTCTCCTGCGTCAGCGGGTGACCCAACGATTCGTATGAGAAATTTAGCGTCATTTTTAGGGTAAAAAATAAAGAAAAACAACACTGTTTTGAAAATTCTTGCAAAAATCAAATAATTGTCTGATTTAATTGAACTTTCAGAATTTATTCTCAAATGAATGAAATTATTTATAAAAATTTCTAAAAAAAATCTTGTAAGAATATTTTTTTCATCTGTTACCCCCACTTAACTAACTTTATGAAATGTCAGATAAATTTCTACCCTCTTCATATTTATATTAGTTAAAAGCAGAATTTGGAGAATTTAGATCATCAATTTGTTTTTGTCAAACAAAATCATCATTTAAGGAAAATCTGTTCTAAATCGTCAAATAAAAATGCAATAAAACTATAATTTTTAATAAGAAGAGCTTTTAAATACGAAAGAAACTACTGTCTTAAGAAAAAACTTTTTCTGAAGAATAATGAATTTTTACAATAATTGTTTTCATTATCTAAAATTTTAATTAGAATAATTTATTAAATTTTAAATCTTTTAAAATTCTGTATTAATTTCAACATTTAAATACTATTACTACGTAAAAACAATAGTTACAAATCAGAAATGGTAAAGCTTAGTAAAAATCATCAAACATCAATATTTTAAACAGAATTTTGAATTGTTTTGTATAAACGTGCCGATTTTTGTAGATAAATGTGTCCCTAAACGGAATTATCAGAAAATAAGAGCGATAATTATACTAAATTCAAAGCCAGGAATTATCTAAAATTCAGTAAAACATTAGGTTACGGAAAATATTTTAAGTTTTTCACATTACTGAATATCTAAATTGATATATAAAAGGCGCTCACGTTATATTGAATTATTTTTTACGGATAAAGACTCCATATAACATTAGATATGCATCAATTTGTTATCTTGTCAAACATGTCAACAAGTTAAATAAACAGTTAACGCTGTGGTAAAAAATACATTTCTGTGATATATTAAACTTAAAGTAGATAATTTTTTTTTCAAATCAAATTAAGTATCCTTTAAATCAACTAATATTTCTCAAATAAAGTTTCAGAACATTATATTTTATTTTGAGAATATTTTTTCATAAAGAATCTTACAATACAATGAAATATGTTAGTAAATAAAAAACACCAAAAAATCCTCCCTTTAATTTAGTTTTGAGATACAGCAAAGTATTTTGCTTATTAAAAATACTAAAGTGAATCAATTTATTTGAAATTGGATCTAAAATAAAAGCTTCAAGAAAGATTTTTCATTTTTAAAAATTCATTCAATCTTTAAGCATTATCTTTTCTTTGGTGGTACCTAATTAAATATATTTCATTTTGATCGAATGATAATTATATTAAACTAAATGAAGATTCTCTTGCGCAATTTCTAAATCAGAATTTCACATTTATAAGTAAACTCTACATAATGCAAAATGTGAAGCAAAATCATATTTTAATGTAGAAATTTATGAAATTCTACGAGACATTTCGACCAAACTAGACATATTTTCTACTGCTACTTGGTGGAAAATTTGCAATTCTAAGTTAAGAGTTATGATTTGTGCTCTTCTCCAAAGGAATTGTTGTTTTTATTATATGTCTTAATGTTGTAGAATAGCTTGCACCTCTTCTGCACCAGATGACTTGGCTCATAGGTTTAAATAGTCTACGATTAAGGACTTCAACGGTTGATTAATATGTTGATACTAAGTTGATTAATATTCGGACTGATCTTAATTCGTTTGCCTATATAGCATTTGAACCTCCTTTATTCCTTGTAAGTTGTCTTGTTAATTGTTTTGTAACTTATTGTTCTGTGTTTCTTGTATGTATCCGTGAGCACCGCATACTGATGCTGAATAAATATATTAAACACTTATTATTCTCTGTGTATCATTCACCTTGGCCATACAGCACTTAACTTGCTTTTATTTTGAAAATTTCTTTTTAAACTTTATCCAAATTCCACTGTTAAGAATTCACAAATGTATATTTTGCAATAAAAATTTTTGCATGAAAGCAGAATCTAAAAGAATTACAAGAAACATTCTGGGATTAATTTCAACTAATTAAATTAAATTGCATACAAAATTAACATACTTACTCAATTTGATTAGTATTTACTTTGTAGACAAGACAACGGGAAAGAAATCCATTATATTTCCTAAGAATCCATGGCAATAATGAAGAGAAAGAAGTTGTGGGGAGAGAAATGATTTCGTACGTCCTGAAGAGACATAACGTAAAATATTTTTCAGTTGCATTTAATCACAACTAGCGCGGATCGAAAATAAACAATCGTCAGGTAACGTTTATCTTGCTTGAAGTTTTCCAAAATGACATTAACATTAAATGTCCACCTGAATAGTCAAAAATGAATACGCCGTGGGGCCTGGTAAACTACGGGCGGATGTTAAAAAAACTCCCAAAATTAACTATGGGCAGTGCGGAAATTTAATAGAGACCCAAGTGTATTTTGACAATGAAAATCGCATATGTAATCAATTTTATCTCCCTTGCATTATAGCGTGTTATATCCTTGCGCCAAACTAAGACTAGATTTGTGAATGAGTGGAATGTAATTGAAGATAATAGACTTAGTGTTGTGGGACGAAAAATTAAACATCGGAAGGAAAGAAAAAAAGAGTAAAGAAAAAAATGAATGAGGAAATATATAGAATGAAATAAGAAGAAAATTTGGAACAAAGGATCAAGTCGGCAGATGAAAGTACAAGGAGAAACCAAGAGAAAATCGAACATAAAAGAAAAGAAACTATTTAAAAGATTAATGGAAAGGAAACACAAGTGGGATAGGTATAGATAGAGAGAGTGAAAGGAAAATTTAGAAAGAATAGATATGAATAAACCTTAAATAATACATAGATAACCATGTACAGACTGTAATAGATAGATAGCAGATTGATATATATATATATATATATATATATATATATATATATATATATATATATGGAGATAGAGAGATATAAATAGATAAATAGTCAGATATTAATAAACCTTAAAAGATAGATAGATAACCATGTACAGACAATACGAACTTGCTAGATAGATAGCAGACTGGGATAGATAGATAGATAGATAGATAGATAGATAGATAGATAGATAGATAGATGAATAAGAATAAAAAAAAGATAAATAACCATGTGCAGACCGTACTAGATTGCTAGATAGATAGCAGACTTATATATATATATATATATATATATGTATATATATATATATATATATATATAGAGAGAGAGAGAGAGAGAGAGAGAGAGAGAGTGAGTTAGGTATGAATAAAACTAAAAAAATACATAGATAACCATATACAGATTGTACTAGATTACTAGATGAATAGCAGACATTGATAGTAATAAGAAAAAAGCTGGTGTAGATAGAAAGATAGCAAGAAATCAAAAGATGGCAGGATACAGATTGATTAAATGATGATAGATTGATCAGCGAATGAGTAAGACAAAATCAAAGCTACGATAGAGAAAGATAATGGAAAATAGGTAGAAAATGAAAGAAATGTCAAAATAGCAAGAGTTTTGTGAATATATAATCGTACATTTCATTTCACATTCAGAAACTCGATTAGAAACTACATGCATTGGGAAAAATATCTAATTAAATGGTTAAGCGTGTTGATTTTTAAAATGTCAATTCTTACTGGGTTATTTAATCTGCAATTTATTATGCAGCAGACAATGAGGTTCGATATCATCAGTAATGGTCAATAAAACAAGCCTTGCTATCCAATAACATAGGCCGGAGTAGGTAAACATGGAAAGGTAAACATGTATAAATTACTAAATAGAAACAGGATGTAAAGACATATCAATGATATAATTTGGACTCAGATTTTCGCTTACAACTTACACAGAAACACATATACAGCAGGGCCTCATCGTGAAGTAATGGTAGTTTTGCAACTGTCACTGCAGATGTCAGTTCACACTGGGTGTCCTATAATTATGGTTTTGCTCATGTTTACGAAATAGCAGTGTATCTGATTTAGACCAAATGCGTCTCCTTGCGGGTCACGAATTATTTTCCACCCTCAAACCTATCACATTCAGGTGGGATGTGGGTGAGCCTTTCACAGCTCTATTGCTACTTCCAGGGAAAGTTCCGGACTAACTACATTCCTTGGTTCAGCCAGGTCTAACCTTTACGTCTTTGACTCGCCATGCTACTTATTTACATTGTAGCAAGCCAGCCACATTCCCACCGCATTTAATCGGTGAGAAGTAAGTTCCCCTCGAACAGCTTGTTTCTGCGAACCACTGTTCTGTTAAACAGACTCCCAAGAGTATATTAGTACCGAAGAAATTTCGTTCCCATTAAACACCCTGTAGTAGTGGGGCCTTGTTTTTGAACCCTCACTACGGTGTAGTAGTCTAGTTTTGTAGATCAATTACTATTCTTGTGAATTCGACTTTCATTGGCCACTGATATTTGGCAAATTCTTGTTGTAGACAGCTGCTCAGGCACATTTGTATTTGTACAACACCCACAATGCCCACCTTTGATTTATACTATGCTGAGTGGACCTTAGTTACAGTATCTAAGAGAGAGAGAGAGAGAGAGAGAGAGAGTTATCTAGCGTGATCAGTAGTCTGAACAAGGTCATCACAATGACTTGTGTTATAGAACAACAAAATCAACGGCTTCCAAGGAGTTCCGTTTAGCCAATTAAAGTAACAAATCTTGAATCAAACCGTGGTATGGTTTTACGGTGATGGCCTCCTGGATAACATCAAGAAGTTACCTTCCTGACATATCGAGCATTGTGAGATTCGAACCCGGGTCTCATCATCAGAAAACAAACTTTCTAACCACTCGACCACATGCCGCTATATACCTGCAGCAATTTTGACCTTGTATAAGGTACATATAGTGAATAAGCAATTGTTAGGTCAAACACTTGGTAAGGAAAACATAACAATCTCTCTTGTACTTGAAAGTTTTGATGAGTGACTTGCGGTTTCTTTTACTACAAAGAACGATCAGTATTTCATAACAGCAAATGATGCGTGTTTCTCACGAGCTAAAATTTGCAACACTGATTTTCACGGCAGCCATGTATAAAAAAACTTATTCTTCCTACTCACAATATATTAAATTTTGAAAATGCTTATCTTCGGACATATAAACGCATCCATGTTGTCTTTAGTAAATACCAAGCTATTCGTTTCCGTGTATGCTCGTCTGCTTTGTTGGACAATTAATCCTTGTGGCAGATGCCTATTCATGGACATTGGTGTTTTGTTTAATACCCACAGTGCCAATCTGTGATTTATACTGCAACTATTCTGAGCCAACCTTAGTTATAGTTCCTGGGAAATAATACAAAATCTGGTAGGATGGACAGTTTGAACATGGTCAATAAGCCTATGTTACGATGACTTGTGACTTCCTTCTTGTACAGACATCGATAGTTAAGAAAACGTTCGTCTACCAACTTCATTCACTTAACTAGGACCCATGATGTACAAACACGCACGCTTGGTTCATGTCTTCAGACTAATATTTTCAAGAAGTTCCAACCTAGACAGATTGATCATGGTGAGACGTGAACCCAGGATTCATCATCAGAATGCTAACTACAAAACCACACGCTCGCTTATACTTATACAATAATTATATAAGCAGGTAGAGAAGAACCCCCCCACCACCACCACCACAAAAAAAAAAAAAAGAAATTTCAGCTTCTCACTCGTTACGGAATATTTAATGCGGATAAAAAACGCTTTATTGTTCATAGTTTGTGAAAGTTAGCTTCTGAACTCACGGCGCAAAAACAATTAAAATTAGTAAAATTAATTAAAATTAATTAAAATTAGTAATATTATTACTTGAAAATAGAAACTGCTTTTTTCAATTACAGTTATTTACATTTTTCGATCGCCTATCTTTCGTCTTCTATTGTTAAAAAATCAAATCCCTCACCCATGATTAACCAAGTGCGAAACCGCTATCAGCCTAAATTGAGTTACTTGGGAAAGCATGGCGTATGGAAGGAAAGCAAAAACAAAAAAAAATCATGATTAGACTTTAGAGTGTATTATGGCAGGCGATCTTCGGCCGACCAGAAACCTTCGTTATCCGGGAAGAGGGAGACGGGTGGTATGGATATGTCTTCATAATTATTCATATTATTATTAATGACTTCTTGCCATTGGCCCCTTGCTCACGTTACCTTGTTCCTTCTTGTAGAGGATTTTGGTGGGGTCCAAGCAAGTATGAGCGTCTTATAGCGCGAGACGAATGTCAATGATTGATTGGTTCTTTCCTAATAGTGAAATACCATATTAGGTAGGCAGACATTTGACTTCAGCCGACAATATGGCAATATATAATACGTATGACAGTGGGATGTTATTTCCTATTGCACATTTGAAATCATTCTGTTTAATACATTGAGTGAAAAATCTTGTTTTCCTAAAGGAAAGAAACTAGCTTCCTGGAAAAGCAGCATTTGGAATCCTAGTTTTTAATTGAACACTAAACTCTGTCACGGATTTTAAATAAACTAGCGCAAATCTATGAGTAATGTGATTCCGAGTTGTTTGATTTCGATTAACGCGCTAAGAAGTTTTATTGTCGAAAATGAATAACGCGCCAGAATATTAGAGTCTAACTAAAAATAATTTATTTTGAAATAAAATGAATTTCAATTGTTTCTTTCCTTCTCAGATATATTTATTTAAAGTAAACAACATCGATGAGTCACATTTATCAAGATTTAAAAAATCTAATTTCTATCCGAATTTCTGGAGTGAGAAGATATCTTTATACACATTATTTACTCGCAGACTATTTTCTTAAAATTTGTTATTATAACAAAGTTTCGATCATTGTGCCTTCATCTGGTGCATGTCGATCCGGGAATTTATGACATAATTTCTTTATGAAAGACAATCGTGTAAAAATATTTTTTAAGGAAAGTCAAACTTGGTCAGTAACTAGATGGCTAACCGTTTGTGAATACTATGTGTTCTATGCTTGGATGTGTGCGTAGTGTAATGAATAGTGACGTGAAATCTTTATCGGAGAGTCGAGTTCCAATTCGCGTTTGCTTCATTATATCGACTGACGCACAAATAACCTTTGGAAAGTACAAATCCACCAATTCACTAAAAGCTATGGGTTAAACAGTAATACTTGCATCATTTAAACCTTTATTATCTTACAATCTAAATCTATATTCTGTTTTTCAATAACCGGCAAAGGATTGATAAACCGTAGAAAACGATTCAATCAATATTAAAATCAGTAGTCTCTTCATAGATCTCTAAGGGTAAGGAATGGAATTATGGTTTCTATAAAAACTGAAATTTCACTCCCTCTAGTGTAATGGTCAACAAATTCTTAACTCAAATCATTCACAAACAAATAAATATTTATGTCACAACGTGGATACAGAAACAAATTTAAACACACATACACTAACACACACATATATCTATATCTATATCAATATCTATCTATCTATCTATCTATCTATCTATATATATATATATATATATATATATATATATATATATATATATATATATATATTAGGAAATTACATCAAAGACATGTGAATAACGCTACACAAATGCAATTTTCCATGATTTCCCTCGAACTAACATATCTGCTCGAAACGTATCTAAACGTAAATAAATGACCTCACACATTACGAAATGGACAATGTCCGACAACTATTTTAATATATTTTATTGTTATACGCTATTTATATAAACACAAATATTTAAGTAAATGCTCTGTTTATTATAAATACTACTAACGACATTTACCGGCCTGAACGTCCGAGATACTTTCATAAATCATGGAATATAAATCATGGAAAATTGTAGTTTAAAAGCAGTAAAATCGAAATTCCTCTGTAGCTAAACTGGTATAGCAATATGACGGTTCAGTGTAGGATACAGGTTCGATTCCTGTCGGAGGGCACATATTTTCTATGTTTCTAAAGTAAAGGAAGTAAATGTCTAAATTCCTTGACCTAGAAACATTTCCTGGGGATTTATATTATTGTAGAGAGGAGTGGGGGAAAAGCAAAAGGAGAAGCAAGGTGTCAGCACAATGGGCAAGTATAGGTGGGGGAAGTCCAAGTGACATCTTGTGAAATACATTGAAAATAAATAAAAATTTATATCGTCATCGTCCAATTTTACATTAATATAATAACAATCTTTATCATATATATATAACAGAGTTAAAAATAAATAATATAATATATAAAACAATTAAATTTATTATGACTAATTCATCTTCATAATTATAAAATACTTTATATATGTGTGTGTATGTGTGTGTTTGTGTGGTATATAAATATAAAACATACACAAATATACCCATCGATACAAACACACAAGTAACCACATATATACAATGCATACACATACATGTGTATATATATATATATATATATATATATATATATATATATATATACGCAAACATACATATATGCACATAGATACACACATACACGCACGAACATACACATACATAATGAATGCACACACACACACACACACACACACACACATATATATATATATATATATATATATATATATATATATATATATATTGACGATTGACAATTCTAGAAAGAAAATTCGGATTGCCAACACACAAACAGAATGTCTCATATCGAGAATATTCCACATTGAACATGAAGAAAAATTAATTATTTTAATAATATGTAAAAATCTCCACTTTCACCTGAAGACAGTTGCGAGACCAGACCAGAAACACGTGTCGTGAAATTATGTAAAACAAAGTATAATATTTTTCTCAATAAATCCACATTACAACCAAAAAAACGTTTCCGGCACCCTCTTCTTTTTAAATATTATATAAATATATATATATATATATATATATATATATATATATATATATATATATATATATAAAGAAAAGAAAGAACAGTATATATATAGATATTTTATACAAAATAGTAATGTAAATTTAAGAGCATAATAATATAAGTAATTGACATATATATTTTCATTTTTCATACAGCTTTTTCATTGATACAAGATGAAAACATTTTAATTTTTTGCACAAAATAAAATTAGGGTTTTATACAGTTATAAAGATATAAACAAAATATATAGACATACACTATATTTTCCACATAAATCGAAAAGATATACACAAAAGCATATATAACTTTTCAATAAATAATGCTAAATAATTGAATGACTGCAAAATAATTACAATATAAAATTCTATTTATAAGATAATTTAAATCAATTTAAATATGATTTTATTTCTTTGGTTCAATAACTGGCTAGTTTTTTAAGGTTTTATTTTTATATTTAATTATTCTAATTTTTCTTCCAGTTAGAAATTACATCTATTTCTGAAGTTGTTAGGGGTTGGGATTTACCTCTACTGTCAAAAAACATGGGGCGACTGTGAAGAGGACGATAGGCGAACCTATCTTCTCCTAGCCAGGTAAAAAATGAAATAATAAATAGAATTTCAGAATTTAGGCGGATACGTCAGCACACCGTGACAGGAAAATAGGTGATTTAACCATGAAAAATCTAACAGACTCCCCGACACTCCTGCTTTTTAAGTGACGTGATATCGACCTGAAGCATTAACAATTGACCATACTAAATTTTGCTCTGAACGCGTCTTGACATGTAAGCTCCATGTCTTCTTGAACTGTGTTGAAAAAACGTTAAAAAGAAATACCTACATTATATCACTATATTGAAGCCTTTACATTAATAGATTTAGGAAATGAAGATATGGAATATATATTGACAAAAATAATATGACTTACATCTGCTAATATTTTGCTATGGAAGTTGGGATGTTAATTATAGCATGTTTGTTCCTTAGGCACGTCTTCTCTTAGGCAGATACTTATTAAATATTGAAACCATTATTTTCATATAATATTTAATACATAGTTTCGCATTCTAAATGATCTAGCATTCCAACAGATGATTTTACCATTTGTTGTGTTACGAATTAATCATCAGAGCGAATTAAACATATATTCAAATAAAAACCATCTTCCTAATCTTTTATGCTAAATAAACAATTGGTGTAAAATTCGTATATGGTGTATGCAAAAGAGTTTGGTAAATTCCATTGAAAAGAACAGTTCGAATTAGCTAACCTTGACATATATGCGAAAGATATTAAAATAATTCAGAAAGGCAGCAAACAGCATGCATACGGATAGAGAATAATTTCAGTAAATATACAAAAATAGAAAGGGCTTTAAGACAAGGATGTGTCTTCTCACCGGACTTATTCAAGCCATACAGCGAGGGAATTCTGAGAGAATTAGAGGTCGGACCAAGTTTCATCAATGGCAACGACATTTTTAACCACATAAGATATGCAGATGACACAGTGCTGATAACAAACACAGAAAGGAAATAACAAGTACGTCCCCAGGAGATAGTGAGGAAAATCAAATTAAAAAGAGTGAAAATGAATTGCAATAAGGCAGAATGTATGGTTGCCAGCAAAAAAGAACAAACCACCATGCAAATTACAATTTGGAAATACCAAAATGATTTTCAAAAGCTAAGCAAAGTATTAAAATCATAAATATTTCTTTAAAAACCAAAATAATACTGAACTGTTTTGTAATATAGGTCCTCTTATATGGCACTGAAGGCTGGACAATCACCTTACAGATGAAGTAGAGGCTTGAAGCAAAAGGAATGTGATTTCTACAGAAGGATACCGAGAATACCGTGGATTGAACATTTGTGCAATAATGAAGTTTTACAGAAAATGGAAGCGAAAGAAGTCATTTATATTTAACATCAGAAAAAGAGAATTGAAATTTCTAGGGAACATAATGAGGAAAGAGGACTTGGGAAATTTAATACTCAGACGACAGATTGAATGTAAGTACAAAGAAAGGACGAAAAAAGGAAAACAAAATATAACCTACCCAACGAGCTTGTGTAAATAGATGGTAGAACAAGGTTCTGGAATTCTAACAAAAAGACAACATTTATTAGACGTTACAAAGGAGGGATATTGTGAGTAAAGCCACGATAACAAACCTCTTGAAGGTACACAGCACGAAGAAGAAGAAGAAAAAGAAGAAGAAGAAGAAATGACGAAGAGGGAGAAGAATTGACGAAGAAGAAGAAGGAGGAGGAGGAGGAGGAAGAGGCGAAGAAGAAGAACTGACGAAGGAGAAGGACTGACGAAGAAGAAGAAAAACTGAAGAAGAAGAAGAACTGGCGACGAAGAAGGACTGACGAAGAAGAAAAAGAAGAAGAAGAAGAAAAAGAAGAAGAGAAGAAGAAGAAGCCAAAGAAGAAGGAGAAGAAATGAGGAAGAAGAAGGACTGAAGAAGAAGAAGAAAAGGAACTGAAGAAGAAGTAGAAAGAAAAATAGAACTGACGAAGAAGGACTGACGAAGAAGACGAAGAACTGACGACGAAGAAGGACTGACGAAGAAGAAAAAGAAGAAGAAGAAGAAGAAGAAGATGTTATTATGTGAAACACAAATGGGGAGGCGATTTAAATAAGAGAGGTAATATTTGCTCAGATAAGTACTTCTCATATCATAATATATAAAACGTCATTATCCCACATATGTGTTTTTTAATGACATTTTGAGACGGTTCGAATTAAATAAGTCTTCATTGTAATCAGTAGCTTTATTATGTTATCTTCATGTAGCTATACTTTTGGCGCCAATCTGTTTGAGAAGTGCTACCAGAATAAATACTCTAATCGCAAGAACTGAAGCCAGTAATAGTTTCTTTGTTGATATCAGCAAGAACATTTTCATGTAGCCACACCCGACTAACCATAAATTGTCCGTGCTTCCGGTGATCAAACTCATTATTTCACACGGCCTAAGGTCAGAGGTCGCTACAGGCCAATGTTAATAACGACAATATAAAGGTCGAGTGTTATACGGTTCGCAGCTTGCAATCATAAATTTCTTATAACGATCGTACTTCACTCGATGCGAACTTGCCGAAAGAAATGCAGCTATTTATCAAGCTCAAGAGAAGAATGCTTTAAGCAACTGTTTCAGCTCAAGGCTTGACGTATGAATCTAGATTTTGAAATCAAAACTCTCGGTCAGCTATCTGTTTCCAAATGAGGAATGCAATATTAGATTTGCTTTTATGCAAGCTAACCCCCAGTAACATTAAATATTTTAGTGTTTAATATTTAATGATATCGATATCGGATTTTATATTTTTTAACATTAAGTTTTTATTGACTTTTATCTTTCAGTTTCCACGTTGTCTATTGATAATCAACAAAACGAATATTTCTGTTTTCTGACAAAAAATATATAATGTAATAATTTTAATTTTTCACCATTGAAGGAATTTATGTTAAACACTCTGTATAAAATATTCCTAATAGTTTAATAAACCGTTGCATATTTGAGGCAACAATCGATAATATGAATTTTATTCCGATTATTGATAATTCTAAGCAAAGATGTTTATTTCTGCACCACATTTCACAAACTTATAAGAATAAATTATGAATTAAACATTTACATTTCCCGAAAATTGTAATTTGTTGAAATATCAATTTAAAATTGTATCATTTATATCTCACAAAATAAATAAAATACTATGTATTTAGCAATAAGGGTAAATATGTTCATAGTTTTTAAAAAAGGACTACAGTATTTTTCGTATTATAAGACGCATACTTATTCTCAAGATTTGCCTCTTATCTAATGTAAATTGCGATTAGGCGATTAACTGCATTAACTGCATTAGGGAACCTGATTGGTGATGTTCACTTCCCATTTGAAATCAATACTATTGTCATAAAGTACATATTCAAGTGAATTAAATCATATATATATATATATATATATATATATATATATATATATATATATATATATATATGTGTGTGTGTGTGTGTGTGTGTGTGTGTGTGTGTGTGTGTGTGTGTACTAAAATAAGAATTAGCAAAAAAGCACCTAATATTTATATTTATTTATAATATATGTATTAAAACTTTGTTATTTACAATTTGATTTTTTCCTTGAAAAATAATTTATGGTTTTACTTTTTTTTTCTTTAACCGGTTTCGCGCAGCTTTTCAAAAAGTTTTTAACTGTTTGTATCTCCACGTGTTGACGCTTATGCTTTGAACAAATGAAATAAATGAAAAAATGAAGGGGCATAACTGGCTATATATGTCTCTTATTCTCAGGAAAATATGGTAGAATCTATTTATTCAATGAATTATGTATTGTTTGAACTTGTTGAAAATTTTTCCTTATTAATCTGCCTTTGTTCAGTGGTTCTGTAGTCGCACTGTTAGAATGAGAAGAGACTAAACTTTGGCAGATTTTGTGCTCCGCATTCCTCTATATGTTGGCTGATGTGTATTTTTCTGATATGGGGAACCCTAATTTGTTGTCGATGAACTGTCGTCCTTTGCCGGAGTGACTGGCGGATTTGGCCAATATAATGCTTATGGTAACTTTTGCATGTAATCTTATATATAAAGTAAAGTGTATGTGGGTATGTATGTGCATGTGTGTGTCAAGGCAACTCCTCTACTCCCATTGGTCCGATTTCAATGATTCGAAAGCCCTAGTTAGGCTCAGGGAACGATCATCTTTGAGTTCAGATTCAGCGTTGCCAGATTATGCGAAGTTAAAAATACATATTGATACATTATACTAGCTATTATCGTTGCTTTCATGGTTCAAGTGTAGTAACACTTACTTTTCTTTCTGTATCCAAAATTGCAGTGCAAGTTTTATTATAAACAAGCTTAAAATCCGCTCTTGGTTTGGCCATCATCCCAATAGCAAGGGAAGAGTAGATTTGATAGACATCAATAAACTATAGATGAACTCAAAATTGATCGCTGCATTTAAGTATTGAATTAATGTTTAAGCTTACCTTTTAAAGGTTCAACTATAATTCTTCTGCAGCCACTTAATTTAAAGACGATTTGCTATACGTAGATCCTTATTTTTCGTAAAAATTATTTTATGTCATGGGTGACAGAACATGGGAAAATCTATAAGATAAAATTATTGTAGTGTAAAGATGGGAAAATAGAAATTAGAATTAGTTATACATTCAACATTTAAATAGTTAAAGAAACATAATAGCTAATTAAGTAAAACCTATATTATGGAATCTATATGAATAAATGCGAAATTGGAGCACAATTATGTAGGGTTAAACGACCCAAATCTACTTATATACTTAAATTATACGCCAAATGCTCAATATATGTATTATTATATATTATCTACTTCTATGTGATATCATTCTTCAAGTTCAACAAATTTGCATATTGATTTTAAAAAAAAGTACATTTCATTAATTAACGTTCCTTCATTAGTGTTATTTTATTCAAGGATTGTTTTGATTTTCATATCAAAAATACTTTTGTTTAGAAATATTGTCTTGTATAGTTCAGAAAAGTGTTTGAGATTTGCATTTTACTTGGCCTTCAGCAAGTTGGCATCTCTTTTTAAAACTTTCCTTCACTATAACAAGCCAATTAATAAATGAAATGTTCATTTAAAATTATTGTTTTAAATATTTCAAGTAGTGAATATATCTCACTTTGCGAAGCGATAGCGAGCGAGCGAAGCCTGCTCGTTATGTATATTAAATTTTCTTTGTCTCATTAGAAATCATTTTTAAATTTGAATTTGGGACCTCTTAGAAATAAAATTTGTGTCCCTCTAATGCATACTCGGCCAAGGGTTCGGTTACATATTTTCACCTGTCGGTCTTTATTTGCATTCTGCAGTTTCGCACTCGTCAGTATATTTTTTAGTGATTTTGTTTGTCGTTTACTTTTTATGATTGGGTTTTTTTTCATATGCTTTTCATTTTTTTTTTTTGTCCTTTAGTGGGATTGGTAGATTTAGTTGTATGTTTGTGTAGATTTCTTTGGGTTGAAAGTTTAGATAAAAGTGATGACCGGTTTTTATCTTTTTTTCCTTTTGTTTCTCGAAGTGAGTGGGTGTTAATTTGTTTTGCGTTTTCAATGCCATTGTTGAGCAAATTTTGAGGGTATTTTTCTTGATGAGTATTTATTTCGTCTCTTTTTGTACAGAATTTTCTTATAATTTCATTTTTACGTACATACATACATACACACACAAACACACACACACACACACACATATATATATATATATATATATATATATATATATATATATATATATATATATATATGTATGTATGTATGTATGTTCTTTATATTAAAATATTCGCTCTATATATATATATATATATATATATATATATATGTGTGTGTGTGTGAATATATATATAAGTAACGAAATATATATATATATATATATATATATATATATATATATATATATATATAATAAATAAATTATTCTCTCTGACTTAACATTGAGCTCTCCGGATTTCAACCTCCTTGGGATTATCTATACGGATTACCAAGATTTTCGTTACTTATATATACATACATACATATATACACATATATATATATATATATATATATATATATATATATATATATATATATATATATATATATATATATTTATATTTTATATATATATATATATATATATATATATATATATGGTAATTGTTTAATTTTTATTATTTAATTTATATATATATATATATATATATATATATATATATGTGTGTGTGTATACTTATTAATAGGTTTGGTGTATAGGACGCAAGCATATTGGGTATTATGCACTGAAACAATACAATAATTATCAATTGTACTTACTGCTTTTACACATAACTTATAATTGAATATTTACACTTGCGTTTAAGCGACAGTAAATTTCCTCACTAGTGGAGTTTGTTTCTGTGATAATACCAGTTGGGTAGTTTCAGTTATTTCTCTAATTTCCACTTTCACCATTCTTTCTCCTTGGCTCTTTGAGACTCTTATAATTTCTCGGAAAAAACTGGCACGACTGCCAACTTTGTCTTCTACAAATTTGTTAGCTCACTTGCAAATTCAGTATATTTATTTATCTTTTCACTTGGTTTCAGATCTACTCCGTTGTCTGCGAAAATAGCGACAACCATTATTTGGCTTGTTTTAATCTCTTTTTACCAGATCCAGACATCAGGCCTAGAATGAGCAATCCCTTTTAATCTAAAGGCCCAGATAGGCTTTATGACATTTTCCACTGAACATTTTCGTAAAAAAAAAAAAAAAATGCTCACAAATATTTTACATAGATAAAGCTCTTCGTAAGGTACGAGTAAATTTCGTTTATTATTTTATCATCAATTAAAAAACAAAAATAATCACGTATTTTACATAGATAAAGCCTTTCGTAAGTTGTGGGCTGTAATCATGAGAAAAATGTTTTGTATTTCTCTAAGGTATAGGCTTCCAGTAATCCCTTCAATGTGTCTACTGGAATCTTTTCCAACCAATCCGAGCGCTCCAATTACAACAGTGATTGTTGATGCCTATGTGCCACATTTTTGAGATTTCGATTTCAAGGTCCTTGTCTCTTGATAGCTTTTTGAAGATCTTCAAAGATATATTGCAGTATGTAGGGACTGCCATATCAATATAGAG